AAAAAAAAAAAATGGCCTGACCATATACATGGGAGGTAACTTATAGTTAAACACCCAGGGTCACTTGAGAGCACATGACATTGGCCATAATAAATATTTAATACATTGCTTGTGAAGACTAGCAAGTATGCATTTGGCATATATTAATGTAGAAGACGTTAGAAGCATTTATTTCACAAGATGAGAAACTGAGGTCCAAAAAGGGTAAGAGATTTGCCCAGGCATAAGTTAACTTTTTTTTTTTTTTAATGACTCAGGGGTTATCATGACTGCAAGTAATGCCTCAATATAATGGTCCTTTGCTTTCACCATAATATTAATGAGCCATGGATCTTAAAAGAATAATCCAGTAAGAGCAGGGCAGACTGACCAGCAGCTTTCTGGGCTGCACTGAAACATTCCTATTCCAACCACAACCGATTTATAACCAGTCTACACTATAGACCACTCACAGTTGGTCCTGACCTCAGAAGACCCTTGCCCCAGTCAAGATAGGATAAGTAAGAGCAACAGCTTGGTGCTGCCCTCTAACTTTCCACTAGCTCTGGGGGATGAGCTGCCCTGTCCCCTTGTCCAGGAACTACTCCTATTCCCTTTTCTTTTTTCTTTTTTTTTCTATTCCCCTTTCTTCCCTATATCAACTGGGACGGCTTAGGCTAAACAGGATGACCCCAGAAGTGAAACAAGGAAAATGAGTTGACGTGGAACACAGGAAACCTGACTCCCAACCTTTTATGAATCCCAAATTGCCAGCCATCCCCTCGAATTTGAAGTTGTGTGGGGAGATTGAAAATGAGAATCATTTCCTTCCAGAAATGGATTGCTTCTTTGTTATGCCATAGTGTCATGAGAGTTAGTGAGTTTTGTGAATTTGGGAAAGGAGGAATAGAAAGTCTTGTGTGTTTCCTGTAAAAAGAGTTGCAATTTCTCTCCAATAGTCAGCCAACAGGAAATACCTGGACTGGGAACTTCATACCCCTAGGATAACCAAAGTACCTGAATCTAAACAAGTAGATTGAGCCATGGGCTGGACCCTCCTGGCTCCTAGGTCACTTTGGCAATGAGGAATCAGAACTGATGCAGTCCCGGGCAGGAACAGAAATTCCCTGCTCATTGGGCCAGTGAGTTTAGGTTGGAAGATTGGTAGGCAGTGGCCAGGTAAAGTAGATCAAAAATTCTTAAGCATGGAGGAAAGCAGAAAGCAAGGTAACATTGTAATCTAGCAGTACTTCTCCAGCTTGAATGTGCATACAAATCACTCGGGGATCTGCTAAATTTCAGCTCTGATTCAGTACGTCTGGAGTAGGGCCTGAGATGCTGCATTTCTAATAGCTGGTAGTGCTGATGCTGCTGGTCTATAGAGCTGCCAGGCTCCAGAGAACTGGCACCTCAGAGGCCCCTGAGTGTTGTAGATCATCATTCTATGATGGGAATTCTCTCTTCAGCAGAGCAAACTGTGTTTTTGCCACTGATGAAGAGCACTATACTTTTGACCAAAGAAACTGGAAGGTGAGCCGTGAGCCATTAGCAAGATTCTTCTGGCATTCTTAATCTTCATAACACCCTGCTATAGCTTCAAGAATGTTTTTAATTAGACCAAATTATTTAATTTGGTTGTCCATAGAAATCAAAGCCTCAGCTGAAATGTCTGTTTCATTTTGCTAGTGTAGAGTGCAGTGATTTTTAAGATGTTCAACACTGCCTGTGGGCATATTTTATGGAGAAATAAACACACAGCCCAATGAGATGTATAGTGTGGTTTTAATATATTATATATTCACTTATTTATGGGGAAAATAAACACACAAGCCAATAAGCTGTGTATTATTACTTTAATATATTGAATTTATTTCATACCTATATATTTTATGAGGGAAAATAAACTAAGATACATGATATTATTATAATAACACATCTAATTGTTCCATATTAATTTATTTATGAGATAAATAAGCGCAATTCAACATGACATAAGATTATTTAATGCATGAGATGAGTTCCATATTAAGACAGTTTAAGGGATTAAATTCCAGCTAAATAAGATGCGTATACTTTCCACACTGAGGGACCTGTTAAAAAAATGTGTAAAGGGCCTGCCTGTCAAGTCCTCTGTGTCACAACCTAGGTTGGCTCCCAGCTCATCCTGATACTTGCTGACTATAAGCGCCTGGTACTCTTAAGTCCAGTTCTGCTAGTTCAGGGAGAAGTCTGAAAGGCAGGCCCAGGAAATGAACGGCCCAGGAAGTAGCCCCATAGTGTCTGTTTCTGAGCCAGAGAAATATTAAATAAACCTAAGGAGGATGGATGGCTTTCTAGGGCCTTTTAAATCTCCGCGTTCTCAGAACAAACTAGGAAGCAGATCGGGAGATCGATCTTTGGTTTACAAAGAGCCAGACAAGGTGGGATCGGGGACTGGATATAGTGTTAGGATGGAAAATGAAGTTGTTGGCTTAAGACAGGTGAATCTGCATTTGGAGAAAGCCCTGGCCTGGCTTCAAATCCCAGAGCAAAGGATCAAAAGTCAGACTAGGCGAGGCAGACCTGCCGCTCTCCTTCCCTCCCTACGTCCATAGACTTTTCTTCCATCTCGCATCCTCAACATCCGTTGAGCTTATTTAAAAAATGAAAAAACAGAAAGCAAATGACTAATGGGACACTACCCAGCTCTCTTTCTTCCCTGGCGTCTGGAAGGCCCAGCGGGAGAGGGCGGGGGCGGATCCCCGGGCTGGGCTGAGCTGGGCGCATCCCGAAGCCGCTGTCATGGCGGCCGTAGTCTCTTCCCTCGCCCTCCCCGCTTCGCCGCCCAAGCGCCATTTTGAGCATCTTCCTGGCTTCCCGGTCTCCCTTTCTCCTCGCTCCTCCTTCTCTCCCTGCGGGCAAGTGCCTCCTGATGTTGCTTCGGCCTCCCAGTGCTTGTCGCCTAGCTGTTCTTCGGATGCTCTTCTAACCCCAGCAACCCCAGGGGTGCCCCACAGCGACACATTTCACAGCCGACCTCTTTTTTAGCCCACTTGGAGGCCAGTTACCATCCCTCGTACAGCGCTCTACTTCCCTATCTCCACCTCACTCCTTGGCTGTCCTACAGCTCCCAGGAGCCCAGCTCATGCCTCAGGCTGCCCGTTCTCAGGCTTTCTGCCTTCCCAGTAAGGCCCTCCACTCTACTTCGGGCACCGAAATGAGCAACCTGGGAAGCCCTAGTATCCCTCGCAACTCAACTAAACGTCTGCGCCCCCACCATGCCCCTGGAACCTGTCCCCAGACCTTCACTCTGTTTGCATTTGCCCACCTTTATTTCTAAGTAGAGGCCTGGGGAACACCCGCGCAGTGCCAAAGGGTCTCTCTTCCTCTGTGTGTGTATGGGGTGGGGGGGACCCAGCTTCCAACAACTCTCCCCCAACTCATCGCTGAGCCCTGGGCGGAGAAGCAGCCATCAATCGGACTATCTTTGTACCATCCGGACTTCGCAGGCCCAGGGGGCTTTCTTATCCTGTGGGCCTTTGAACCTGATCAACTTCATTCAGGTCCTGGTGGGGTGAGGACAGCCTTTGGGGATGTGGGGAAAGGGGCTAGGTCCCAATACAAACACTCACATTTGTATTATAAAGACATTTATTTCATCTATGAAAATAATGTACAATAAATACTTTCCCCTTTTCCTATTAAAGAATTTTAATAAATAATCTACAGTCTAAAACTTAAAAAAAAAAAGAGGAAAATAAGTCCCTCTTGTCCGTTTTAAGAAAGCCCCCCTAGAGTTTACTTATTCCTGAGATTTCGTTGGAAGGAGTCTACCAAACGGAATTTTTCTATGTGATTTGAAAGAGAGGCCCAAGTGCCCAATATTTTAAGAGAAAAAAAGGGAGTGGATTAAATGCTAATTCAATAATACCTGAATTTTAGCAAAACACTTGTCTACACGACTGGGGGGGGGCAGGGGAGGCTCAATTTTTCCAGCAGACTGCCAAAGAGGGCAGGGGTCCAAAAGGCCGGGAGGAAGAAACGGGTTAAGGAAACTGTAGGTCGATGGCACAGAGTGTGCTGGTGAAGAAGTCCAGATCTTCCTCACAAAAGGGGACAGGGCTGTCAAGCGAACCCTGTAGGCTGGAGGAGATTCCTCCCGACAGCTGAAAACAGGAGTCGGCCGCGAAGAAGTTGAGGTCGGGCAGGAAAGGCGAATCCTGCCGCTCTGGGAAGGCGTCTTCTGGCAATAGTCCGGGCTCCAGACCACCCGTACCACGCAGCGTGCAGCCGGAGCTCGGCTTGCCGGCGCCCTCCAAGCGATCGGCAAAAGGCAGGGGACCCGGGGCGCCCAAGGGTCCCGGCGTGACCTCAGGCAGGTGAGAGCAACCTTCCTGCGCCGCCTGTGAGGCGGAGGGGCCGCCTGGACTGGCCGCGGGCTCCTCGGCAGGGTCTCCTGTGTCCTCCAGGGCGCCAGGACAAGCTGCCTCCCCGTCAGGCGGCTCTCGGTGCTGCGTTTGCCGCTTGTGCTTCATGCGCCGGTTCTGGAACCAGACTTTGACCTGCCTCTCAGTGAGGTCCAGCAAGGCCGCGATCTCCACGCGGCGCGGACGGCACAGGTACTTGTTAAAGTGGAATTCCTTCTCCAGCTCCAGCAGCTGCGTGTTAGTGTAAGCCGTACGCAGCCTACGCGCCCCACCGCCTCCAGCCTCCGGCGGTCCCGGGCCATCTATAAGGAAAACAGGCTGGGCGTCACAGCAGGCCCTGTCCTCAGACCAACCTCAGTTCAACTGAGATTAAATACTAGCCCATCCGCCAAAAACAGTATTATCAGTCGCCCCTGCCTTCCCCACCCCCCAACTAATGAGCCTTGTTCTCACTGCTTTTCGGGTTCTTTCTGTTCTCTTCCTAGCCGACAGCCTCAGTCTGGGTCAAGGCAAAACATTCAAAATCTCCCACGGGCCACGGGCTCCCTTTCGCACCCAGAACCTCAGAACCCCTCTCCCCAGTGGACCCCTCAATTCGGAACTTTCCAACCCAACCCAGGACAGGGTTCACAAAGATTGTTCTTCACTTCTCTTCCTAGCTCTCAATTCCCTCTCTCCTAGATCTAGAGGAGGGAGGATCGCATCTTTTCCTGCCTCCACAATCGATCCCAGCAACAACACACTCATTCCCCTACAATTCACGGGTGAAAACTCCAATCGAATTCTTTTCTTCCAGCAGAGAAAAAGCGCTTTCCCAACCAGCTTCCAAAGTCTGCTGTGGGGGGAAAAATGCTGGCTGAGCTTAGGCCTGAACCCCAGCGGGATATTCTGCTTCTCCACTCCAGGAATGGACCGGACAAGGAACCCCAACCGGCTCGCCACTTTTTTTTTTAACCTCCCCCACAGCTCTTTCTCCTTAGGGTCTTCGAGCTGCCCCTCACCCCACCCCCATCGCGCTAACCGACCTGCAGGCGATCCGACCCCGGAGGCCGGGACGGAGGAGGCGGCCGGGGAAGGAGACGTGGAGGATTGGCTGGGTTTCTTGGCGGATTTCTTCTCTTTCATCCAGGGGAACTCGGGGGCCGGGGGGGCAGCGGGGAGCGGCGGAGGTGGCGGCGGTAGAGCTGGCCCATCTTCGGCTCGCTTTTGGCTCCCGGGTCTCTGAAGGGTGGAGGCGCCGGGCTGGAGGCTGGGGAAGGTTTGCTCGAAAGGAGGAGGTGGAGGAATTAATGTCGACTCTTTGATTGATGAAGTTTGAAATGTCTCCAAGACAGCGGGGAAGGAAGTCAGACACTCGGCGAGCGATGGCTGGCTGTTTATAAACCCAATCTCCCTCTCAAATTCAAAATTCATGGCTTTCAATGGTGGGGGAGGGGGCCTGCTGGGGGGGGCGTCAGGAGGGAGGATCGGAAGGGACCCCCCCTCCTGCCCCCCCCAGGTTTATGTGATGGAGCGATTTTGGGAGGAGGAGATTTCGCGTTCTTTCTCTTTTTAAAAATTTGGGCCTTTATAATTGCATATTGCTGATAAATACTAGCGTATGGGGACTCTCTCTATTAAACCCAGGACTCCGGCGAAATTGCAGGGAATTCTTGGTCACGGGACCGGCCTCGGCCAATCGCTCGTCTGGGCCTGGTGGAAAACACAGAGCATTATTTGCTTTAATTGATTCAAAAACTCCAGAGGACCACGACCTGGACACCATGAGCCCCCCATTCCTACACCAGTGGCTCACATTCTCTCTCCAAGGTCTCCCTTTCTCCAGAAAATCTAGAGGAACCTCTTCCTCGTCCCCTTAAGAGGATGGAAGGTTGTGGGAGCCTGGGAAATGACAATCTAAGAGAGAAATCTCCCCTCTTTTCCACATATTTTTAATAGAATAAATTAATGCTTTCTTTATGGCCAGCAACAGCCTCTTCCCCACCCTGTCCCCCCAAAAGAAAGAAGAATGAAAATCTTAATGTTGGAGGAAGAGTAGAAAGTGGCTGGTGTTAAGAAGCAAATAAAGAAGATTTGCAATCATCAGCATCAGTATCCTCATTCCACCCCTCAAAAGCAACAGTTCAATCTTAGTGGACAGGCGCTTCCAGGTTGACAGGAGTGAGGTAAATACTGAGGGGCATTTTTAAGGCCTCAAGCCTCTATAGCTGTGTGGCCTGGGTTCTCTTCTATGCCCAGTGTTTACAACACTGGCCCTGCCCCTTATGTCCATCCACCTGCTTTCTTCACTTGTGGCATCCACACTCCTCTATGAGACCTCCTTTCCAACGGGCAGGGTCTAAGATGCAGATTTACTCACTCGAGCCTCAATATCCAGAGGCATGAATAAGAACCAAGGTAGCCACTGATTTAACTTAGAGCACTCTCAAAGCTCAGGTCAAAGTATGGGTTGAGGGAAGTTTTTCTGCTAGGACAAAGAGCCTTACCCTCCCATTTTTTACCATTGTGCTTACCCTCCCATTTTTTTTTACCATTTTACCATTGTGCTACTATATATATATATAAAGATGGGGGTGGTGGTGAAAGTAATGACCACTGAGATGATATTCCATTTCTGGTCCCTGGGGGGGAAATGTTTTTAAATTTATTTTATTTTGAGGGAACCAAGATCATCTGAACTTTGGGGTGTGTTGTAATTTGCTAGAGGGAGGGGGGCACACGACTCAGAGCCACAAGCAATTGGTGGGAAACTAGGCCTCAAAGCAGAAAATGAAAAGTCGATCTGAGGGAAGATTTTTAAATAAGTGGGTCAGAGGGACCAAGAGGAGATGAGGCGATCAATCTTAGCCCCCTGACAGCTCCCTCCTATTGCATCAAAGAATTTTGGTCTTTGAGAAAGCATAGGCAACAGCAGAAATTTCACATCCCTTAAAAAAGGCGGGGTAGGGGGTGGGGGGGAAAGGGTGAGGAGAGAAAGGTGATTCTAAGAGAGCCAGGAAACAGATGGGGAATGGGGGAATGAGGACAGAGGGAAGGCGCTAAGTTGGGTGGAAAGTTTGCCTTGAGAACTCCCACGGCTCTGGCCTCCCCTCCCCCTCCTCACTCTCTGCTGCCCAGCCTGGAGGAGAAAGCTGGTTAGCAGAGAAATGGCAACTCAGCCGGGAGCTGGACTAGAAACTTTCTGTCAATGTAACATCCGCGTGGGTGGTGGTGAGTATTTAAAAAGAAGGGCAGAGACCTCTTGAGTAGAAGGGTGGGGGTAGAGGACAGTGGGGCTGCAGAAAAGGGGGGTTGGAAGAGGTGGGGGCTACAGGGACGTAGGAAGGAGGCTCTGGAGGGCTCAGAAGAGAAAGAGCTGCTTTGACCTGGGGAAACTGGCCAGAGACAGTTGTGTGCAACTCAGATCCAAAGAAAACAATTTTGGCCATTTGGAGATGTGGATGGGGGTGGGCACGGAAGAATCCAAATAGTAGCTGTCTGGAAGTTGTGCAGGGAGGCCTACAAGGGGGTTCTTTTTCTGGCCACCCCCTTGAGCACCTCTGGAAGTTTAGTAACAGCCTTGCCAGCTGGCTGCAAGATCTCGAGCTTCTCTCTGTAACTCTGGTCAGCAGAGACTGTCTCTGCAGGAGATAAAGCTCTCTCTAACCCTAGCTGACAGATTTTACAGCCAGATTAGCGAACATTGGAAAGGTTTGGTGTTAAAAGGGGCCAAGAGAGAACCCTCCTTCCCAGAGACATCTCTCCTCCGCCCCCCTGTCGTGCTGTGAATCTTATAGCACAGATATTTTCCCCACATCTTTGGCTGCTTTCGCTGAATGCCTGGAATCTCCCCATAGAAGACTAGGGAACACCAAGCCAAGTCGTTTCTTATTTTTTTTGTTTGTAATTCCAGCTTCAAGCCAAAGCTCTGTTTTTCAAACTCAAGCTACATTCTCTCTTGTCCTGCCTCTCTCCCGCTAGATAAATAAGCAACCCACCTCACCCCCCAGAGCCTAACATTGCGCTTCATCTGGTTATATCATTCAGAAAATGTTATTCAGGGAATAGGAAGAGAAAGAAAGAAATTTGAAAGAAAAAAATTTTGAGTATTACACATATTTGATCCCAAGCAAACTTTACACGCTTTTATGCCTTTAAATTATAGCCTGACCCAGTGCTAAATTACTTGCTGCTTGGATGAGCCGAATCCAGTTAAAATCCTACTTGGTGATAGTAGTGGTGGGGAGGGTGTAGAATTCAGGTTGCTTTTTTATTGTTATTTATTGTTGCATAAAGACTATAATTACTAACCTTGGACTGCCAGAATGTAACATAAAAATGAAAATAAGCCCTTGCTTTAAGGCTGAAGGCCTGGAACGATTCTCACTGTCCTCCCCCTACCCCAATCACTACCACCAAATATATGCTCCTAATTAAGCAATTCGGGTGCATCGCTTACAATTAGAATTATGCAACTCTTCAGCAAGCAGCCATCGCTTCTCTTTCAACGAATTAGCTCCATATTTCAGCCGCCCTGTCTCCTGGCTCTTATCGGCTCCAGCGACGGGCGGCGGTGACATTTCATCTTTGACAGACCCTCTCTATCCTCCCTCCAATGTGATAAAACTTTTATGGAATCACGACTAAGAAATGAAGTTCTCCTGAGAATGGTGGTAGAGCCTCACTTTAGCCTGGGGACCACTTTATTTACGCTTGGATCCAACAGCTTCTCCCACCCTTCTCTCCCCTTTCTCTGGGAGGAGAAATCAAACACTTGTCTCCTCTTCCTCCGCCCCGAGTTTTATTTAGTGATTTAATTTCACTTTGGTTTTAAAGTTTGACCTGAGAAGTCTAGGCCTCAGATTTCTTTTTTTTTTTTTTTTAGATTAATCATTTTCCTTTGTTTTCATTTTAGACCCAATGGTGGTTGGGCTTCGGGTCACGTGACGACTTCTTTGTAGCTCCGGAAGAGGACTGTGAAGTTTAGGTTGCGTGTAGGAAACAGTAATTGACCAGATTTGGGGGCAGGGTGGGGCGTTGCGAAGGAGTCTGTGGCCAAAGCGAGCAGACAAAAGGTCAATGAATGAGAAAAACGGGAAAGGTAAAGAGGACAAACAGAAAGACCTACGTAGAGCACTCTCCCCTCAACTTGTTACCTAACCCTTAGCTAAAGAAGTTGGCAGAATGTTCCAGGCTATGTGTGAGAAACCCTATTTAAAGCCGAGACACATAAAGGCGGAGACAGGAACCTGAGCACTGGACAAACAGGCCACGAAAGGGTCTTCAATATCCTAGTCTTCTCTAGAGGGAAATGTGGCAGTCAGCAGCTTTGCTCTGCTATCTAAGTCGGACTACTAGGACAAGATAAAATTGATAACAGAAAATTTTATTCAAGAATTGTTTGACAGACAACTCTTTTAGGTAAAGAAAAAAAGTAACTACAGAAGAACAAAGAAAGTTCCAAGTGAGAATTAACTCTAATTCTACAAATTCAGGACTATACAGTGACGATTAGGAGCTGAGGTTCATGCCTTTTAGAACTAATTACAATTGCTCATAAGTACGAGTTTAACATAAATCTACAGCTCTTTATTCTAGAGTACAATAACTAAAATAGCTGGTTTTACATGACAGGAAACACAACGTCTTTTGTAACAAGTAATTACTAAAAAAGTACAATTTTTTTTCCTTTTTCCCTCATATAAATACATAATGTAGGGGGGATAAATAATACAAAAAGAAAATATTTTAACAGGCTATAACCAATAAATATATATGAAAATGTTCACTAGAACACACGCTTTTTGAGCGATGCTGGACTTCTGCAGGCCCAGGCATCTCTCACAGTTGTTTTTATATCCATTAAAATGTAAACTCTAAGTGCAACAAAAGTGTCCTGTCAGGAGGTTGAGCGAGGCACACAAGCCCAGCTGCAGCTCCTGCCTGGGACAGACAGTTTGTTCAAATATACCCTGTTTTCACGTTAAGTCAAGAGAGCAACAGAAGAAAAGTGTAGAACCTTATGTCTCTGACTGCTTTCTGTGGAGAGAGGGGGATGGATCTGGAGCTGAGACAGAGGCAGCAGAATGGGCAAACCTTCAGTCCTAACAACTTGCCTGCTCTGGCCTCCAAACTTTTCCTTAAAAGAAAAAAAAAATATATATATATTTATGATATAGGCAGCTCTGACTTTCAGGATCTCTCACCATCCCTGAGCCCTCTAACAACTGTAATTGATGGGAGTGGGGTATAGATATTAATGTCCTAGAGCAGGAAAAACATAGGGTTAGAAATAGAGAAGGGACTCCAATAAACTTCCCATAGATGGGAGGAAATTTGAGGTTTTAGGGAAGTGAGAGGGGAACGTGCTTTGTGCCCTTGGGTTTGAAATGTGTTTTCTTATTTTTTTAAAGGAGAATTGAGAGACTAAAAAATTAAAATTTGGGAGAATTACCCGCAGAGATAGAAAGTAAGTTGGTTGATGATGGCCTAGCCATCTTGTCTGTTTTTTAAAATGTGCTTCTCTGCCTTGTTTTTCTACTTCGTTTTCCTCTACCCCACTGCCCTGCGTGGAATTCCAGCTGCTAGAGCTAGAGCCCTGGGGTTGATGGAGTCATCTCCAATCTGCTGTGGATTCCTTTCTCATGGGTTGGCAGGCAGATGGAACTAAGGGTAGAGGATTTAAAAGCAACCTCTCAGGCCAGGGGGAGGGGAAGGCGCCCCAGGCCCGTACTATCCAGCAAGCCTGGCTACCACCTCCCTGGCCTATCTTTCAGAACTCCAGGCTGCCTTCCCAGAGCTCCGCAGTCCTCCTCACCTCTACCCTTCGCCTTTGACCTGGCCCGTCCGTCCTCCCTTTCCTATCACAGGTGAGTTAATTTGGGCGCTTCTTGGATTCTACCCTGAGGAGGAGGCGCATGGTGAGAGGAGAGATCCGTGTAGGTGGGATGGGGATCGCAGGGTCCGTGGTGCTGGCTGGCGGCCATAGGGGGCGCCCCATTGTAGTCCAGATTCCCCGAAGGGTGATGTGAAAGGTGGTTGAGGCCATAGAGGGAGGGGCCGGCAGGGGGCGGCAGCGGATCGTCGTAGCCGCCCCCGCCCACGTACACCGGGCTGCCCTGCATAGTGGGCGTCCCGTAGGCGCCCCCGTTGGCTTGGAGGACGTGGGGCTCATAATCCGGCGCCGGGGTCGGGGGGTATTTCTGGGGGGCGCCGCAGCCTTTGAGAGGGGGCTGATAGTTGGAGGGCAACGCGTAGGCATTCTGGTGGGCTTTGCCGAAGGCAGGCGGGGACGGGCTCTCGTAGCTGGGCGTCATGGAATGTAAGGCGTTCATGAAGCCCGCCGTGGATTGCATGGGTTGCGGGGGGCTGCCGGCTGGAGAGGGCCCCCCCGACGACGAGGCCAGCCCCTTGGCCTTCTGGTCCTTCTTGTACTTCATGCGCCGGTTCTGGAACCAGATCTTGATTTGCCGCTCGCTGAGGTTCAGCAGGTTGGCCATCTCCACGCGGCGAGGCCGGCACAGGTAGCGGTTGAAGTGGAACTCCTTCTCCAGCTCCACCAGCTGCGCACTTGTGTACGCCGTCCGCGCCCGCTTGGACGCCGCCGACCCCGGGGGGCTCTTGTCCCCTCCCCCGCTGCTGCCGCTGCCCCCGCTGCCGCCCCCACTGCCTCCTCCACCACCGCCGCCGCCGCAGCCCTCTGCTGGATCCGAGGGGGAGGGGTGGGAAGGGGAGAAAATGAAATAAAAGATAATTACTGAACACGCCGAAATTGAATGCATCGTTTCTTAATAAATCCAGGCCTGGACTCAGAGCCCCCGCCGCCCTCCCCTTCGCGTCCCCGCCTCCTACTCACTACCCCCCTCCCACCGCCCGTCGCATTAGCGGACACTCTATAATAGTGGCATTTATTAAGAGACCTGTTCTCCTCTCGCTGCCCCAGCTTATGAAAATTTGATCATGTCACACAGAGCCGCATGGCCATTTATTTAGGGCTGGATTTTCACGTGTGTGCTTCCTCCACCTTATCCCAAATTTCTGATCTGGGAAGACGTTCTCCCTACTCTACCCCATCCTGCAGACAGGGTGGGTGACTAAGGAGAACCCTTAGGGTAAATGTGGATACTCGTGGGCAGGACCCTGGAATGTGGCGCCAAGAGACTGCCGTGCCTGGAGGCCGGGATCCGGGGACACCAGGGCATTGTGATTAATACCCACAATAATCATACTTAATAATAATCAATCCTGGATGAATCTTCGTCTTTCCAGCAGCGCCTCTTCGCTCTGAGGCCTTGGGAAGGTCTCTAAGACCCAGTACCCAGCCTTCTGGAGCTCAAAGCTCAGGTGGAGACTGGCTGGAGGGAAAGGGTGTTGGCGAGGTCTGGGATCATCAGGCGGTGTTGTTACCGAAAATGCGCTGCCACCTGCTAATGTCCCCAGGCCGCCTTGTGGGCGCCTAGGGGCTGGGGGCTAGAATAACAGCGACATTCCTGGCTTGGACAAAAGCTCATGAGAGGAAGGCAGAGAGCTAGTACCTGTGCCGGGGGAGCTGTTTTTCAGCTTGGACGTTTGCCTCGACTCTTTCATCCAAGGGAATATCTGTTTGGTGAGGGTGGAGTTGGAGCCAGGACCACACTTGGGGGGAGCGCTTTTGCTGGGCCCGACCCCATTATTGCTGTTGCTAGTGGTACTGGTAGGTGCGGCGCTGGGCGGGGGTGAGCCGGGCGGGGCGGGCAGGGGATCCGGGGCCAGGCCGGGCCTCATGCAGCTGCCATTGAGCTCCTTGCTCTTGGCATGAGGGGCAGCGTTGCCCAGGGACTGCAGCGAGCACGCTGAGCGTTGATAGTCACCCTCCAGGTGCGTGGCAGCCTGAAAAGGGGGTTGGGGGGGACCGTCGTAGCCGAAGCCATTGCTACCAGGGTACGAGGAGTAGCCTCCGAAGAGCGCAGCCGTGGCGTTGTCGTAGTAGGTGGCTTTCTGCATCGCTGGGTGAGGCCCGGGCAGTGGGTGACAACTTGCAAGGGCCTGATACCCTCAGGATCGGACATTGGCACCCCTGGGGGTCACATGACAAGCCGGACCCTCCCCTTCCCCTCTCTGCCCCCCTCCTCCCGGGTCTGTTCCAAGCGGCTGACCTGTGGGGCGAGAGAAGAGACACAAGGGGGAGAAGAGGACTGGGGCTCCGCTCGAATCCATCTTAGGAACTGAAAAGGGAACTGACATCAATAGGGTTTTTTCTTCTCCCCTCCCCTACATCTCCAGGGCAGATGCTGAGGCCAGGTCCCTGACCTGAAGGGGATTTTTCTTATTTCAAAGCTTTAATTTTCAAGGGAAAAATCCCACCAGTTTTCATTTCTACTTAAAAAACAAGGACTCTACTCCTTTGGGGACTGCCTAGGTACAGAATTGTACTACTGCGAGCAAGGGCCATTGCTTCTCTGGGGTCTGTGCACTAGCCCCTGGCCTCTCCTACTCCTCTCCTACCTCTGGGATACAGTGGCTCAAGGGAGGGAACAGTAGGAGATGCCAAAATCCTCAACACCCTCTTGTGAGCTCAGCAGCTTCTCTGACGCCTGCCTTTGCTTCCCTCCCTGTCTGTTTAGGTCTCTCATCCAAGCAAAGTCTAGCCTGGAGGAAAACCAGAGGATCTCAGAAAAAGACAGCAGGAAGAAACAAGTTCAGCAGGGAATCTTCTCTTGTGAGGTATCCGCCCCCAGGCCGTCCCACAAAGGACAACAGCAGCCTGACCTAGAAACTTCTGTAAGATTTTTAACCTCCAGAGCCAGCTAAACTCAGCTTCAACCATTCATGGCCCTGCTGCAGGTACCAACACCTCCAGTCTGGGACCTGGCAGCCAGCAGCCCCCATGGGGGCCTCAAATGGAGCAGGATTGTTTCTATTTTCCAGGCCAGTTGGTGCTGTGACCATTTGGCCTAGGTCTCTCTCCTCACCTCTCTTTTTTTCCATCAGACAATATTTTCCCACCCTTTCCTTGGCAGTCTGCTTTCTTTGATTTCTCCAAAAGAAAAGAAGCAAAAAGAAATTGTATAACTGCTGGACCTTTCTACCAAAAATGGGAGAAATGCTTTCTAAAAGAGAAAATTATTCCTGAGGAAAAAAATATCAACAAAGCAATTTGAACAATATTATTTTCTGGGCTGGAAACCTTGTTGACTGAGGTTCCCCAAGGTAAAAAAAAAAAAATGCAATCACTATTTTAATACAGCCTTTTAAAAGTGTGCCAGAAAAATAAAGAATCAAGCTATCATAAGATTTTGTTTGTCCTAAAACTTCTGACCGCATTTTTTCCCTCTTTCCCAACCCTTCACCACTTTTCATAAAACCTCTACACTGACCCTCTCTTCTGACATGTGCTTGGAAAACTTAGACTCTCATTCAGCCCCGCTGCTCAACTCCAAAGAAAATAAAAATAGGAAAATAAAAGGAGTGCAGGTGAAGGAAGTCCCTCCCACACATAAATCCCCTTCTTAATGGCACAGATTTATACTCAAAAGGGAGCAGGGGTAGCCCTGAGTTCCCATTGGTTTCTAGAAATACACATGGGTCTGCAAAGCAGCAGGTCCTTCCAGGGAGAACCAGAGTTCAATTGACCAGGCTGACCCAGTCCCTTTATTATTATTACCATTAGCCTCTGATGATTTAACCAAAATTAGCTTGGAAGCAGCCCTCGCTGAAGGGGGAATTAATTAACGGTATCAGTTGAGTTTCTTATTAATAGATAGAGAAGAGAATGAAATAAAAACGTTGGCGGGGTTGGCTGGATGGACCCTGGCTTTATTTAGTCTAAATGATTGTTACAGCAATAATAATGGTGATGATGGTGGTGATGATAGTAATAATAATAAAACAATAATTTGACTGGACGCCTGAGGCCCAAATTCCTGTCGCTCCCCCTGCAATAAACCCCAAACCATCGCAGGACCGAGGCCAGGCAACGGTGGGAAGCAAAGGAGCCAGAGACGCAATAGGAAAGAATGGAGACTCCACCGGCGGTGAGACAGGGCCGGCAAGGTTTGCGCACCCCGGTAGCCCCGACTGCCGCCCGCCGCCGGACTTTCTCAGCCACTGCTGGCTGGCGATGAGCAACCAGCCGAGTATGCTGGCCCAAGGAAGCAAAGAAAATGCGATTAAGACACCAAAACAGTTATCAGTGGCAGGTTCCAAGCACACCGGCCGACCGAGGGCCAAGCCCTGCAGGCAGCAGCAAGTTTGGGCGCTGGAGGTAACCGAATTAAAAAGCGCCGTAGCAACTCGGCTTCTGGACTTGACTTAACAGTGCTCCGGGCTGGAGCGCGCCGAGGCCTGGCTTACAGGACAGTGGGAAGAGGGAAAGGTGCCATGGGGATCGGAGATCTGGGATCCAGGACAAGAGGGGGTGGGGAACCGATCTACCAAGCCAAACATATCTATTTCCCTTGCCTCCATGTTGGAAAAATTCAAGCTCCATATGGCTCCTCCGGAGGGAGGGAGGGAGGGAGCCGGTGGCTCCCGGCTTCCCCCAAGGGTCTCGCTGGACAAGGGAGGTGAGTCCCCCTAAGAACTCCACGTTTCCAGGCATACCCCGGGGAAAGTAAAGGGAGGGTAACAATAGCAGCGGAAGCCCTGGGAGAGGAGATAAGTCACCTTCCAGGACTTAAATTAATGGAAGGAAGAAAAATAAAACAACAAGAAAGGGAGAGAGAGAAAGGTTGGTCTCTTCTTAGCAGCCGGGGGGCAAAATTTAGCCTTGGATCTGGCTGCTGAAAGAAAAGAGAAGAAAAGAAGAGAAGCAAGAAGAGAGAGGGAGAGAGAGGGAGAGAGAGTGAGGGAGGGAGGGAGGGAGGGAGAGAGGGAGAGAGAGTCGCTGCGTGGAAGGAAGCTTAAAGCTTGTGAACTCTTCTTGAACCGAGATTGGAGTCATATGGGCCATAAATCATTGAGACATACTCTCCGCCATTCACAAACTGATAGCCTATTTCAGTCCAGCTTACCTTAGCCACCGACGAGGGGAGAACAGGCAGACATAATATATATTCACATCGAGCCCCAGCGCGAGCGGCAGGCGAGAAATCTCCCCTCCTTGAAAGCAAAGGAAAAAAGACCACTGTTTAAATCTGCGTTGCCCCCCCCAAAGCCACCCCGGCTGGGGAGCCCGAGGGGCAGACCGGCCAGAGGAGCCGCGCAGCGTCCGCTTCAATTCACTCGGCTTAGGAGTGGGGGTGCGCAGGAGGAAGGGGGTGGGGGAGCTGGGGAAAAAAATAGAAGACCGAAAGGTGCCGGGGCAGCTCAGCTCGCCGAGAATCCAGCTCCCGGCTCCACCACGGCCAAGCCGCCACAGTGTGGTTGCCCTATAAGACTGGTACGCCCTACTCTCCGTAACAATGGCCTCTGCTTTTGCACAGGGAAAAAAAACCACACAGACACACACACACTCACTCACACACAGGCTCACACACATCCCCACCTCTCCCCCTTTAGCAAGCTTAGATGCCTGATAAGGAGGGAAGGTGGTGGTCGTGGTGGGGGAGGGTGGAAATTTAAAAAAACATCCACCCCCCCAAAAAAGAGGGAGAAGAAAAGAAGGTGGAGAGTGTTCCTTTTATTTTTAAGAACAGGTAAATTTTAAAACTGATATTGGGGGTACAGGGAGGAAGAGGAGAGCAAAGGCAACGCAGGCCAGTGAAGTTCACAGCTCGCCCCCCCCCCACTAGTGAACCATTATGCTAATTTGAAAAGTAGCTATGGGAGGCTGAGTCAAAGGCAGGCCTCGCCGGGGGGTGGGGGTGCAGGATGCCCCTCTTGAGTTCATTCGCAGTTAGAACACTAGGACTTTTTAAAGAAGTAGTTTCACTCCTGCGGGACTGGTGGCTGGGTCTCCCGCTTCTCCCTCTCACTCCCTCCTCCTGAGCCTCCAGCCTCTGCTCCTCCACACCCTCTCTATTTCTATTTCTTCTTTCTCTCTCTCTTTCTGAAAATCTCCAGGCTTGGTCTCTAACCAAGGGAGGAGGAAGGCCAGACCTTTTTTTTTTTTTTTGTAGAACAGACAACAAGCGGTGAGTGATGATTTAAAAAACTCAGAACATCTTGTAGGGGGGAGGAGGGTTGGGAAAAGGGTGACAAAAGGAGGACCCTGTGTTTAGCTTAAGGTCCAGACTGACTGGCAGTAAAGAGGCTGTAAGAACTTTACGGAGAAGTTTCTGTTAAGATTCTCACCTCTGGATAGGCAGAAGGGGCTAAGAGGTGATAAGGATATTTGTGCTTCTAAGATGAGAAGAACTAGCAGAATGACTTAATTTTAAATGCACTGGCAGACGAGAAGGAGAATAATTATTATTATTCAGAATAAACCTGTTTATTTCTCTCTGCTCTGCAAGATTTATGACTCTTGGCACAAGTGAGGAAGGCCACAAAAGCTAAATTTTTCTTAGGGTGTATTTGAGCAGAGCAGTAAAAGGCAAGGAGGAGGCCCGTAGGAGGAAGAAAGGAGCCAAGAATGTAGGTGTCTGCAGATTTGGAGTGGGGGTGGGGAAGTCATTGGAGAGGAGGAAAAAGACAAAAAGAGCACCGGGACATTTCCAAAAGCAGAAGTGTTTGCAAATCTACCTAACTGCTGACTCAGAGCTTAGGGGATAAAATAGAAGGCAGAAAGTCTCCTTTTTCTACAAAAGCAGTTTAGAAAACTGGTTCTCTTAACTTCAAATAGAACCAGCCACTAACTTGTGATTTTGTGGTTAGGATACTTGGCTTTTGCCTTCTCCCATCTGGATGCACCAGGAGAGGCCGCTGGGACTGGGGAAGACAAAGGTGAGAGAAGGTTTCCAGCTATTGTTTCCTCTCATACCCTCTCACTCCCCACGCAAAGGCACTGCTTTGGGATGAGAAGGGAGTGGTCCCTGGCCTCTGTTCCCCATTTCTTCCAGGTCAGCTAAGTCAGGCCAGGTGAGTTGAAGTGCTGGGATTTCCTGGGACCCTCCTAAGCAGCGGGAACCTGTGGCCTTCCTACCTTCCAGTAACAGGAGCCACATGCAGAGCCTCAGGCTGTGACGTCCTGAGGCTCCTGTCTCCTGCCTAAAGCGTTGGTCTCTGGGGCAAGTTGGGGGAAAAGTGAGGATGGAGGGTGGAACCCATTTTTCTGTGTTTATTAATAGCAATAAGAAAAGAAAATGTCTAAACCAGACCCAATGTTGGGGCTGAAGCCAAGATCCTCAAAGAGACCCGCTAGGGCCACCTCAAAGAAGTCTGTCCTGAGATCTCTAAACCCTGATTAGAGACCTCCAGGATTAGACCCCAGGTAACGTTGGCCCTAGTGGGTCAGGGACTTTGGCCCAGGGAAGCTCCCAGAGCTTAAGGGAACCAGCACCTTTGGTTAATTTTTTCTTTCCCTTCTGAAAATAAAAAAGTTGAGACTACCTCCCTGACCCTCCAGCTCTCCTAGCTGTTAACTCCTACCACTGATGACTGGGAAATTGAGAGAAAAGAAGAACCTATCACTTCAGGGACTGCCCAGCTTTGCCTTGAGGAATAAAAAGAGAGCCCAAAGGGCACCCAGCCAGCTGCTGGCCTGTAAGAAGAGAAGCAGGCCTGGGCCTGGAACCAGGCTGAGGACGGAGGAGTGTTCCAGAGACAGCGGTGGACCCCTCCTCTCCCCAAGCTTCCTCAACCTTTTGTGGTCCCTCTGGCTACACCAGACAGTAGGGTATAGTGGAACGGGAGTGAAAAGGAGGGTTGGGGAGCAAGGAAACAACCTGGAGAAAACTTCAGAGGACATGTACGGTAGGAGATGAAGGGGGGCTTCCTAATTTTGGACAACAGAGCCCATTTAGGCAACTGGATCCCAGTTTGGTTTCTTTTTTGACTTTTTAGATCTCAGCTTGCCTTTTAGATCTTTTTCTTCCCTTTTTTCTTCCTTTCTCAGAGGCTTCTGGCCAAGAGGCCAGGTACCTCTGGTTGGGGCTGGCAGGCTGGAGGGTAGATGGTAGAACAGGCAGCCCCAAGAGTGCCCCTTTCGTTGGAGGTGTTCCAACAGGCTAGGGGCTTTTCAAACTCCCGGGGACAAAGATTGGGTAGTAAAGAGCTTTGGCAGGGAACTTGTGATGAGGGATACCAGAAAGGTCTCAGGGAAGACTTTGGGGTCTGGGAAAAAATGGGAGGGGGGAAAAGGGTTTAATCATCTCTGATAGTGAAGTCATGATTAAGAGACAGACTGGAGAGAGAAGAGGGAACAATTTCTTCCTGGATTCAGGGAGGAAAACTTGTGCAACTCTGTGTGTGTCTGGGTGTGTTTGTGTATGAGAAGGAGAGGTTGGGGAGAGAAAGAGAAATTGAAAAAAAAGAAAATTGAGAGAAAGATTGAGAGACAGAGACATTAGTGTAAAGTAATAAAGGCAATAATAATAAACGTAAAGATTAGAGAAAATGTCCCTCTTTGTAGACATCTTTTCCTCTTCCTTTCTATTTCCACAGAGCCACAACATTCACTAGGGGATAGAGAACACTTTAAACCCCCTAAGCAATCACTAATCACTGCTTTTCTGGACCTCGGTGGTGGACGAACACATATTTGCCTGTTTCTCCCCTCCACAAACCCATCCACAGGCAAACGAAAATTCTTTCAATAAGGGGAAACTGGCTGGCTCCTTTAAAACTGATTTTGGATCGCAGCCTTGGAGCGAACAAGGATCCTACACCCAGCTCAAACAATAGAAAATTTGCCTGGCCCACCCTGCTCACTAGGGAGCTGGGACCTGGGAGCCTGGGGCGAGGTATTTAGGAATGGGTATTTCTGACCCTGTCTGGGTTCCTGGTACCACACTCTTTTCCAGTTTCACTGCACAACTTTGTGGCTGCGGCAGAGTGGTATAAAATTCACACACCCACCCATCTCCTCTTTAGTATTAATAAAGATTTCAAAGTTGGGGATTGTAAAATGGAAATTGCTAATGAAGAAAGCGAGTAGGAAGGAACAAAGGGGCACTAGGAATGAGCAGATCTCTGCCCCTCCACAGAAGCCTGTGCAGACCCTGTTCAGCAGAATTGGAATTGAAAGAAGAAAAAGGCCACTACAATGGGAAGAGAAATATCCAAGCTGTACTTTTCCCCATCTTAGGTGTAGGGGTGCTGCCCTCTTCCTGGCTAAGCATAAGAGTGGGAGGCAGGAAAAAGTAGGGCAGCCAAGAGGGTCTGCAAAGTCTGCTCAGTGACCCACGAAGGATGCCTGAACACAATTCTCTAGTGCTGTGAGGAAAGTTGGGAGCTTGAGCAAGGCTGGTTCCTTGGTGGTGATGCATCCCAGTCTGAATTAGGGCTCCTACCTCATTTGCAGTCTTAGACTGGCAACCCACATCCTGCCCCAGGGAATGAAGGTGGGCAGAGTAAAGAAGGCAAAGGGAGAGAGACTTCTAATCTTCTAATCTTGCATAGCTTGAGAGGCAGGGGTGCTGGGAAAGGAAGGGAGAAGCCCAAGCCGGCAAGAGAGGGACAGAGGCCTGGCCCACTGAAAGCGTCTGTGCAGATCTCTCCTGACAGATTGGATGTCTCTCTCTCAGTGACCTCTATTTAGCAGACAATAACTCACTGGATTAATGACCAATCAGTGGAAGCCCTTCCAAATTGCCTCCAAATATAAAACCCCAAAGTCAGAATGGGATAGGGCCAAATGCTGGGCCCGCCAACCTTCTGCTTTTTTTCCCTTTCAAAATAGTGTTTGAGGCTAGACTTTTAGGAAGTAGATTATGTGGCCATAGATTGAGATTTCCAGAGCCCCAAAGATGAGGTGTTTCTCTTCCCACTCCTTCCTCCCTAGAATTCATATCTCAAGCCACACTTCCCAAAGCAGCCTGGAAACCTCCCCTCCTCTGTGGGTTTCTTCGTATCCCTGATCTCACAAGAAATTTCCTTTCTCTAAGGGCATCATGGCTCACACCTGTACTTCTAGCACTTTAGGAGGCCAAGGCAGATGGATTGCTTGAGCTTAGGAGTTAGAGACCAGCCAGAGCAAGAACAAGAGCCCCTCTCTACTAAAAGTAGAAAAACTAGCTGGGTTCCAGCTTCCTGTAGTCCTAGCTATTGGACAGGCTGAG